TATTTTAAGGGGGGACATATCATATAGTACAATCACATGTAAATAAATCCATGAGGCATATATAGATAGACGGGGTATTGTGCAGGGAAACGGGAGACGAGACCAAAATGGTCAAACAATCCCATGCAAAAATAATATAGGGCCCTCTTATATCAACCACTTTCCCCACGTCCCATCCAGAACAAACCAAAAATACACACATCCACGGTTGATTCTCATGACGATAGCAGCCAGGGTTGGAAACCCGTTCGAATGAACATATATATCACATACCTAGCTGCTTGTACTCTTCAACAGTCTTCTTTTCGCCAAGCTTGAAGCCGGCAGTTTGGCTGGCGGCCAAATCATCCTCGTGTTCGTTGGTCATTTTTAGTTTGGATGGGTTGTTATTTTATAAGGTGAGCTGAGAGGTGAGCGGGGTTGAAGACGAGGGTCCGTGCTTCGGAGCTGGCGGGAGAGACGTTAAGGGCAATTGCGTTGGTTGGTTAGAAAAAAAGCTGGTATGATTGAGAAAGCAAAACGTTGGAGAAACAAAAGGATGGGGAATGGGGAAGAGAAAAAGAAGAACAAGCAGAAAAGAAGAGAGAGAGAGGACAGAAGACACCGGTGGCTTGGTGGTAATATTTTGGTGGGGTAGTGTTGATGTATCGAAAGGCGGTGGGGATGGGTCTAAACACGTCAATCGCTTTTAACCATGCTTTGCCTGGCGGTTCTTCACGGAGAGCGGGTGATGGCATCTTGAGATCAAACACAGGCTCACCATTTTACCTGCATGAATCTGTTCCAGGAACTATGTGGCGGATTCGGAGCGGAGTGGTAAAGGCAGATATACAGCTGTGTGTGCGCGTGTGACAACCCCCTATATCCCTATTTTACTCTTGTTTATACCTGTCGACTCACTGAACCTTCTAGTCGTCCCACCCCCACATTGTCGGGAGAACCGATATATTGATAAAATGGGCCTGGGCTTCTCCACTCGGGGGACGGCATCCACCTGCTCGTTTGATGTACCACATTTTTCTGAAACAGCTGCTGCAGGCCCAGACCAGGCTCTTTGTCAACCACTCAACTTAAAAGAGCTATTTATGGAGTATACCCAGCCCAGTGGAAGGCGGGACTGTGTACACGCACCGCGTGGAAGGAAAAAAAAAAAAAAAAAAAAAAAAACCACAAATCATTCACCCCGCCCGCTTGTTGCTTCGTTGACCAAACAAGAAGTTGGGATAATAGCGCTAGGGATGCAGGGATGCATATCAAATGTGACGTGGAGCATCAGGATGAAATCATTCAAGCCAGCCCCGCTTGAGATTTATCGACATGACAACAGGCGCTGGAGAAATCTACTTGATACTTTGTGGTGTTTTTGCAAAATGGATGTTTTCCCGCTTAGTTTCCGCGCCAATGAGACAAATCAGTGTGCGATCATCTACAAACGCATGTGTGTATTTGTGGTTTTGGGAGAGGGAAGAGATATGCGATGAGGGAGCTAGGGTTGGGAAGCATTGTGAATTCTGAAGATTGAATGGATGCGCTGAATTTTTTTTTTTTTTTTTTTTTTTTTTTTTTTTTTTTGGCCAGACTCAAACAACGGACACAATTTCGAATTTATATAGATGGCAAACCAGCCCAATGCCGTCTCTCATCAACTAGCATCTCATTCTGTGGGTTGTATGTTCTTCGAATCGGCATATACCCTCCTGGCGTTGCAAGATGGCCCTTTAAATGGATTGTTTGACATTGTTTCTTGCGAATCCAAGCTTTGAGCATTTCCAAAACTGCCCCACAGTACCACAAAATCACGGAACGGTTCTTCAGCACGCTAAGCCTAGCCCGAGGCATGACTTCGGGCCAACCCGCCCGACCTTATATGGCAATACTGTATCTGCGTGCACAAGAGTAGCATTGCACTCGTTCAGAATCTCTCTCCTAAAGGGAATCCGTGTATGTGTATATATATATGTGTGTGTCTCCCAGTCAGCTGAAGCTAGAATACCCTCTGACTGCTTCTATGAACAGAAATCTATTCTAGTTCTCTGCTCAGTCTTGTTGGGACGTGTGGTGATATTTTATTTCTGTCATCTGTCTAGATACTTGGTGGAAACCTCAAATGGTTAGGATTATAGCACTGTTGGAGTGACCCAGTTAACTTCTCTTCCAAAGGATTCCGAACACTCCCGGCTTAGTTTCTCCGATACGGGTTTCGTGCTGGCATCTTTGGATACAGCAAGGGCGGTTGTTTGGAGGAAAATTGAAGTTCGGGGAGTTCTTTTTGGTTCGCGTTCGTTATTCCCCCGATGGCACCCGGTCAAAAGACAAAAATGGGAGTTTCATAGGGAGTACTAGTAGCAGTTGTATCAGAGCTAGAAATGTGGTAAACTTAACCTTTATCCCTGTGTGGCATGGAAAATCAATCAATGAAAGTCTCTACTGTTGGAGTTCTTTCATGATGACCTCATCGTTCCGCTGTCAAAGAGGCAAGCGTTGGGTTGGCACGCTAGTCCGCAATAGGAAGCCCAGAGCCCACAACCCCCCACCAACTGTTGGTTACGTAACAGGACTCCCGGTCACGGGGTGTTGCAACCTCCCTGGCCCCAGCCATCCCTTTTCCTCCCCGAACTCTTTTTTTTCTGTCTGGCTTATTTCGTCTTGGGCAGGCTTTTTATCTCTTTGCAGTCGCGGATATCGCCCCCTGACCATTGCGTTGCGATCATTGTCGCCAGCCAACTCAGTCGCCCTGTCGCCCTGTCGCCCCATCGCCTTGCTGGGGTTGTTGGCCTGACTGAGAAATCGAGCAAGAACGCGCTGCAACGTGGCACCCGTCCTCCGCCAGTCGCATCCGACCTGTCACCCAACTTCTATCTCAATCGACTCCTCTCACCCCTTGCCCTGCGTCGCCCGCCCTCCTCGTTTCCTTTTCCTCGTCTCCCCTTCTTCGCCGCCAGTCTCGTTGGCTTGAAATAACATTTAATAATATATAATATTTTTTTCTCCCCTCCACACCGCCCGGCCGCCAGTCACCACCATGCGCTCCCTTCCGAGAAGAATCAACCCTCTCATCCTGCCAGAGGTTTCACCGCCATGTAAGTCCTGTACATTAGCTGTAACCATGCCCAATGCCCCTCCAAACGCGATTCATTTGCGTCTCCTATTGTCGAACCCTGCATCCTTTCTCCAATGGCGTGGCGCAAATTACAATATCCCTTCTGTAAAATTCCCTGATACTTACTATTTAACACCGTTCGCTAATGTGCTCGTTTTCCTTACTGTTTCCATTCGCGCTGCTAGATGAAGAACTTCTATCGCGCCGTCGACTGGGTAAGACAAATCTATCAGTCAAGCCAGGCCAGATCGGCACATCCAGCGCGACGAAACCCGAGAACCTGGGAATGTTTGAATATGCACACTTGAGAGCACCGTTGCCCAAGGACCTCAAGGGTTCGGAGATTTTTTCCTTCCAAGCGCCACAACAGCATCCAGAGGCGTATTTCCTGATGGTGAGCCTTACCCTTTTCCTTATCTTCAGCACGATGTCGACCCCTTGCTTTCCTGATCTATGCGCGCGAATGATTCGGAATTGGAAAGTAGGTCACTAACTACTGCGATTTTTCTTCGTTTGGCGGCAGCGACGGAGCAAAGATGGTTATGTCAGTGCCACTGGCATGTTCAAAATCGCATTCCCCTGGGCGAAGCACTCCGAGGAGAAAACTGAACGGGATTACCTGAAGAGTAGAACAGAGACCAGTGAAGATGAGGTCGCCGGGAATGTTTGGATCTCTCCCGAGCTAGGTAAGCTATATTCCTTCAGCAAAGCATTCCAATGTTCAAGTGTCAGCTGACAATCTGCCTGGAACTAGCACTTGAAATCGCAAAGGACTACGGCATGTTCGACTGGGTTCGAGCGCTCCTAGATCCAACAGAAATCGTCCAGAACACATCAAGCCCAGAAAAACATATCTCGCCTCCACCGAAATTCGAATTGCCGCCAATTGATTCCTCCCCATCTACACCATCCCAACAAGGCTCCCGCAGAACCCGCCGGTCCGCCACTCCTTCGAAAATGGCTTCTCCAAAGAAGAATACCGCTAGTCGCAAATCTCGACAGAGCCGTGCGCAAAGGGAAGCTGCAAGTACCGCTAGCTCAACGGCTGCCAATGCCTCGCTTCAAAGCACCCTGGATGCGGCAGCATCGACAGCATAGAAGACATCGTCATTTTCCGTGGACAAGTTACAATCAAACGGCACCGAAGAACCCATATCCAGATCTCACGGGGAGGAAGAAGAGGACGACGCCTCACAGCATGAAATCCCCGTCAAGAAATCCAAAGATCGCGCCCACAATAAGTCCGCCAGAGCCACGGAAAGTACAGTGGAATCTACAGTCCGAGGCGGAGAAGATCGTGCGGAATCCCGACGAATCGATCTTGCGCCGCGTATGCTCCCCGAAGTAAACCCGGCGGAAGATTCAGAACGGATGCTCTCTGAGGCGAAAAAAATGGTCGCTGACGCCGTGAAGCGTGATAAAAAGACGAAAGAAGAAGTGGAAGAGGATGAGCCGAAAGCTGAGCCCTCATCGTCACCATCCTCGCCTTCAAAGAAACGGGATATGGCCATTAGGAAGCGGAAGGCGGAGGAAGTACCTACAGATAAGCAAGAAGGGGGTGTAGAGGACTCAAGTGATGCTGCCGCAGCTGCGGAACCGGCGCAACCAGCCAAACGCGCTAGGCTACTAGAGGAAAAATTACGGCGAGAGAGAGTGCGGAATCGCGCGCTTGTTGGAGTTACTGCTACGTTGGCACTCGCGTAAGTCCATTCCACCCCTTTCCTTTTTCTTTCACATGCGCGCCGCCAGTAAAGGGGTAGACTTCTGTTCTAACATGGAATGTGTGATTTTTCTTGACAGTGCGGCAATACCATACTTTCTTTAATATGTTGTAAATAAACTTTTCTTTTCCATCTTTTTTCTTCTCAATTATTCTTGTGTCTTGTTATTTTTTCTTCTTCTCAGGTTTCGGATTTAATTTTCACTGTCGCCCCGTTCGAGCGAGGAAGCGGATCAAGTAGGAGAACATGGGAAGAAACGGGGTTGAAGCATACCACTTCTTATGTTCACGTTATATACATATATGCCGACCGTGGCATGTTGAGACAGAGCGAGGGAGACAGTGATGTGAGAAGCATTTTGACTTCTCCGAACCCACCACAACGGGCTCTTTATTCCAGACGGCGGGCTATCATTCCATTCCTTTTTTAACCTAATTTTCCCACTGTTTAATTGCTGAGAAAGGGGCTTAACTTTTTCTCCTTTCCCAATCTCTGGATATTAATTCCCACCCTCCTCCATGGCTCCCCTTCCCCCATTGCGTTTCCATTCACCTTCGCCAACTCTCGCCCCCTTCTCTTCGACGCTCTTCCTCCGCCCCCATTCCCATTACAAACTTGGCTACTCTTTACCAATCAACGCAAGAAATTCTGCGTTCCGTTTTTCTTTTCACTATTATCAACTCATTTTTCTTTCTCGCTTTTCCTCCAAGGATAAGGATCATTGATCGAATGTTTTTGAAAAGTCGGGATTCTCCTTTCTTCTTTTCTTTTCTTTTCTTCCTTTCAGGCACCTTTTTGTGATTTATTCCTACATGATTGTTTATTCTATCCCACCATCCCACCAAACCCGCCTGTTTGGTTTTATCAAAGCACGACCTATCTATCATCTGTCTATCCTTGAAACTCTCAAATTCTCAACTATTAGCAGCAGCATTAATTTTAAGTGTTACACTGCCGTAAGGTTATGTGACATTTTCAACCTTTTCAACTCCCAAAGTTTTAGCCTATCCTAGCGCAAATTCCAGCTGTATAATTCCCAACAAATTTTTTTATTTAATTTACATACAACCACCCCTCTTTCTTTCTACATCAAAAAAGTGATATATTTAACGCATGTTTTTTTTAGTGTCTTGCTGGAATCTCTTGGCTTTGATGTTCTAATTCAAGTGGCTCTTCTGCTCCTTATTAGGATACTTACTATCCGTCCTCTCATTCCATTCAAGAGAGCAAGTCAATTAGACAAGCCCTCAACGGCGGCAACAGCTCTCAGGCTTTCCCCTCTTACACTTCGTTCCCAATTCGGCCGGGAAGGAAAGCGATGAAGCGCTTTATCTCAACCCATTTTTCTCAGTCTCCCGCTTCCGCTTCCATCTTGGCTTTGTCCAGGTGAACCAGGTGAATTTGAGGACAAGCTGGATTGATAGTAGTGTGTATACTCGTATTCAAGTTGAAGTCGACTTGTAGTTCGCCCTTCTCTGCTAAGTACTAGTATTGTGTTGGAGGGATTGGACTGGGCGATTCTTCCCCTCTATACCACCATGGCGCTGGTGGTGATCGATTTGTGTACAAGATTGGGTCATGTGACATATAGCCCACGGAGCTCGTTGACCTGACCTACCCCGGGTAACGAGAGAAGAAACCGAGCAACAAAATATCACAAAATTAAATGAAACATTCGAAAGCTTTGGATTTTGTTTTGTCACATACACCGTCTTGTCAATTATGTTCACGCTATCACCTTTGGCCTTATAGACGAACCTTATAACAATGTCCCTCCCCGGTTTAGAGCTCACACAAGCATCGGCCGAAGCTCTCAGCACCCCCGCACCGCCCGTCCAACATAGTCTTCCAAGGGGCTCGGAGTGGAGATTTGAAATCGCATTTGGACGAACAGTGAGGGTAAAAGTATGTCATGACACAAGAACCTAAAAACAATTATATTCAAATAGCCTGACCGGGGGGAAATACTTCAGCTTCTCGCCGGCACTGCAGAGCTCTTCGGCACCGAACTAGCCGCCTCCCAAACATACACCTTCTCCGGAACCAAAGCCGCAATATACACTTGGCATGGCTGTACGCTAGAAGTGAGCGCCGGCGACCCCATATCCATCGGTGGACTGGGCAGTGTGCCTCCGCCGCCAGGCTCAGGCAGCGGGGGGTGCCAGGTCGAGTATGTAGCGGAGGAAACGCCCATGGCCGAGTACGTCAATATCCACGGCGCGCTGGAGACGATGCGCGAAGAAGCAAAAGCTAGCGGCCGCGAGGGACCCCGCGTACTCATCCTGGGTGCAGAAGATGCGGGCAAGACGAGTCTCGCGAAGATTCTCACGGGGTATGCGACGAAGAGGGGCCGGCAGCCTGTTGTGGTTAATCTGGACCCGTCAGAGGGGATGTTGAGCGTGCCTGGTAGCTTGACGGCGACAGCGTTTCAGTCTATGATTGACGTGGAGGAAGGGTGGGGGAGTAGCCCTATGTCCGGCCCCAGTCCAATACCGGTGAAACTGCCGCTGGTCTACTTTTATGGATTGCCGAGTCCGTTGGATGCGGAGGGCCAGGTATATAAGCCCATTGTGTCGAGGCTGGCATTGGCAGTTGCGGGGCGATTGGCGGGGGATAAGGATGCGAGGGAATCGGGGTGCATTATTGATACACCTGGGGTTCTTAGCCAAGGGAAGGGGGAAGATCTTATCCACCAAATTGTTACTGAGTTTTCAGGTATGAGAAAATCCTGTCCTATTTTCAATTGAGCGGTGAACATATACTGACAAGCTAGCGGCTTAACAGTCACAACGATCCTTTGTCCTGGGCTCCGAACGCCTTTACAGCTCCATGGTAAAACAGTACGACAACAAACCTATCTCCACATCCCCGTCTACCACCATCGCCACTGTCGCTACTGGCGCTACCCCTTCCTCCCTCGACCGTATATCTGTCGTCAAAGTGACAAAGTCCGGCGGGTGCGTTGACCGCGATGCCTCCTTTATGAAGTCTGTCCGTGACTCACAAATCCGCTCATACTTTTTCGGCAACCCCATTCCGTCCACCGCCTCCTCCGCACTCTCGCTCTCTGCCACCTCATCAGGAACAACAATAACCCTCTCCCCGCACGCACAGCAGCTCGATTTCGACTCTCTCTCCATATTCACCATCACCGCCACGCCCGAGGACGAGGATGACTACGATCCTTCAACCTTCGGCATGAATGACTCTTTCTTACCCGGGGGTATCAACGACCACGAAGATGATGACAATTCGCAAATGCAACAGCCACAGCAACCGCAACAACAACAACAATATATCGATCAAGCTATGGCCACCTCATCAACCTTCCCCGCCTTCCTGTCCGCATCCAACGCCTCAGCAACAGCAACAACATCCCAACCTCCTCACACCGCCTCCATCCCCCTAAAAAAGCTGCCTACCTCCACAACCTCCCCAGCCCCGCTGGCGCTAGAAAACACACTGTTAGCAATAACACACGCAGCCCCAAACGCGCCGCTCCATGAAATCCGCGACGCCAGCATCATGGGTTTTGTATATGTTGCAGGCGTTGATGAGAAGAAGGCGAAAATCCGAGTGCTGGCTCCCGTCGGGGGCAGGGTGCCTGCTCGAGCTATGATATGGGGGAGGAGGTGGCCGGGGGAGTTGGTGGGGTTGGTTGCGTGATTTGGGGGAGTTTGTTTTCTAGGCCTCAGAGCGGAGGAGAGTAGGACGTAGGAAGGAAAAGATTTTGTTTTTTTTTT